ACATGCTTATTTATTAGAGAAAATGGCATAGTAGTTAAATGCCATTGTTTCTTGAAGCCATTTTTTTTTCTCCTTCTTCCCAACACTTTATTACTTTACAAACAGTACAGAATGTAAGCCTGGTGACAGCAGAAAAGTCATATCTTACTATTTTAAAGCTCTAATGTCCAATTTTAGTGAAGCAAAGGGACCTGACTTTAAGATACAGTTTATATACGGCACAGTGTATATGTATGTACTTATTTGGATACAATTTTCTTTATTGTATCTCTAAAGAATCCTCCTGGAATTTTTAAGTTATAGAAAAGGGCTCTTGTTTTAAAGTACTTACTTAAGTTGATATAGTTTAATGTACACAATTAAAAGGTATTGGCTGAGAATGATCAGGAATCTTTGTGTCTGTGTGGACCGCTATTTAAACCATGAACTTTCCATATCTCTAAATAGACTACATGAGGTGATCGTTAAGATCTTCCCAAAAGATAGTTAATTAAACAGGGAAAAACTCCCCATTTCCCTGTAATTTTGTGAGTTTTTATCTTTCTATAATATTGATTATATCTGAGTGTGTGGGGGGAGATCTTATTTTTCCATCCAACCTGCCCAGACTACTTTTAATATGAAAATATCAAGTTTACTTTGCACATTTATGTCAGGTCAATGAAATACTACTATAAAGTCCAAATTTAGTTGGGAGACTCCATTGAAAGAAAAGGAAGGTGTTAGAAATACTTCATATCTTACACAGATGAAAACACACTGACTTACTAGGTTTTCATAACAGTGACACATGCCGTTTCTGGAAACTGTGTAAATCTTAAAACTTTCTTCCTATATTCTGGTTAGGTTCTTACTGTGATACAAATTTTATATGGAATACTATTTTAAAAATTTCGAATGACAACAATTTCATTTGTCATCAAACTAAATTTCTAGAATGATGATGACCAGTAGCACAAAGCAAAAAATGTCTTTTACATTGTCCACTTTTGTAACAGTATCACAGGAGAAAGAATTTGTATCAAGTGGAAATGGGCAAAATGTTTGAAAGTTAATTAAACATAGCTGTTTACTGTTTCTATGAAAACAAAATAACATCTGTCAGGTCCTTGGATATAGCCAAATTAAAAGGTTGGTATGAAATCAACTGGACAAATAGCTCAAATCAAAATAAACTGTTACCCTCTGGTCATTAAGAAAGTCAAGAGTATAACGGATAAAATTCTACCATTCCATAATGGGTGAATCCTTTCTTAATATCAATTATCTTCTAATAGAGCTCAGCAACAATCTGGCTAGGAAGAGTTCTTGCCTTAACATTTTGAGTGACACTATTCAAACTGCCAAGTCTTTTTCATGAGCAAGTCATCATTAATTCTCAAATGACCAATTAATTACAATAAATACTGCCTAAATATTATGATATTTTACTGGCAGATAAGTAGGATTTCCACAAATCTTTACCCTATACTCTAATCATCTGAGGCATTTTGGAGATGAAAAGCTTAATACTCCAGGGAGAACTATCTACATAACTACCTCCTTTATAGAAAGTCAATGGGAGAAAGTATAAGACTAGAAACAAAAACAAAATTAGAAGATAAAAAAAGGAAAATGTAAAAAGGAATGGAAAATGTAAAAAGTCCCCAGTGCCAGAAATGAGATTAAAATGTCATCTTTGATAAGATAAAAGTGAATTGGGAATCTTTTTGTCTTAAAAGGTATGCGATTTTGATCATTAATGGGGAGGCCAACAGATAATGCTACAGATGACTGTGTAAAGTAAATTACTTAAGTGTGGATCGAATTTTCTAAACGGGACATAGGGATAAGATACAGCAAAAATGGGCTCAATGATCAATTTTCCCCAGTCCAGATCATTATTAACCTCTATGCAGAGAGAAACCGTGTGAAGTCTGAGTCCAGCTAGCTATAATCAGAATGGTACTATGTGACCATTTTGTATACCTGTACCCGGAGTGGCAAATAATCTTCACAGAGATCATCCCACAGCTCCTGCAGATCTGAAATCTCCAAGGGATAACTCACAGGCGTCTTGTAAAGGGGTTTCAGCGACCTGTTAAGGAAACTGGAACTAACCCCATCTGTTAAGGTATGGCCAGACTTGGCTCCAGGTGGGCTGGATTTCACTGGAATAGGAAGCTTGCTCCCTCGGGGACTCTGGATGGGTTTATAATCAAGACCTTTAATCACGCTAAGAGCTAGCTCCAGCTTGTGATTGCACATGTGCTGTGGAGCCTGTTCATCTGAACAACAGTCGCACTTTACAAGTTCCTTTGCACTTCTCTCAGTTTCCTCATCCTTCTGTTGTGGAGGACTAGCCTGGACACTTGCATCCAAAGATTCCACAGAGGAACCGGGTGTCCCTTCTTCCATGCTTTCACCATCTGGGGGTACCTTTGGGCTTACTAAATCTGGTGGCCCAACCTCGGACAATGCTGGTTCTTCAGTGCAAATGCTGGTAGACCACCTGCTAGAAGGGCCACAGGAGATACTTCTGGCCACCTTTCGTGGCACCTTACAAATGGCTTCATAGTCAGAATCAGCAACCCGCAAGGCTGCACAACCACGGCATCTCCTGGGTCTGTTTCCAGGGCCTTCGGAAGCATGGCAGCTGTGTGGCTCCTGAATCTGATCCTCATTTTCTACCCAGCACTCAAACCCTGAATAGGCAAAGTCTTCCTGGAGCAGTGCAGAGTATCTCACGTCCGGTAAGCTGGAAATGTCAACTGTCCCATTCCCCGCCTTAGTCTCCGCGCCAGAGTCATCGTTATTCTTTCGATACATACTGGCGATGCAAAATTTAAGGCGATCCTTCTCCAGCAGCAGCTTCTGCAAACGCTCGATAGAAAGGGCTTCGATCCGCGCAATAACAGTGTCAAATCTATAAATCCTATCAAGCATAAAAGCACACTTGCTGCAAGCAAACTCGGCTTTGCCATCGCGGCAGACATCCTTGCCCAGGACGTGCGAAAGTAGAACCTGGAGGTTGAGCTTGGACGCCGTGTGGAAGATCCAGCGCCGCTGGTTTCCACACAGCTCCCGGGCACAAATCCTGCAAACCTCCTTCATCTTCGTTCCTAGCAGGTGCCAAGTTTCCCGGAGGCGGTGGCGGCGGCGGCGGCGGCTGCTCGGGGATTGCTCACTGGTTCCAGGTTGAGTTCCGTCTCCCTCCTCGGTGGTCTCGGGCGAGCATGGCACAGCCCGGTCGGGGTCCCAATTTGCAGGGGCGCACCTCCGCCACCCGCGCGCTGGCTCTGGGTACCAGAGTGGAGAGCCCCGCCCTTGAGCGGGAGGCGGGCGTGGAAAAGCCTTAAGGGGATGCTGAGTGACAGCGGCGCAGGCAGTGCTCGGCCCCTGCCAGGTCTCCAAAGCGCTCTCTCCCGCCAGCTGCCGCGTCCTCAACGTCCTCCCCTTTTAGCAAACGGGGCTCGCAATACTCCCGCTGCCGCCGGCTGCTGACGCAAAGCCTCGGAGATTGAGGATCGGATTTCAAGATGGCGCCAGCAGCTCTGCGCCTGCGTCCTCTGGAAGGATCCTCTGGGAATTGTAGTCCGGGCCGCCAGCAACCCGCTCTGCGCATGCGGAGTGGTGAGTGCGTCCCTTACCCCAAATCGCGTCCCCACTGTGCACAGTGGAATGCAGACCTACCTCCAGGTGGGTACGGAATGAGCAGCCGCTGCGAGGCCATTTCTGTCTGCTAAAATCTCACGAAAAAGGCGCACCAATCCCTTCGAGCATCCTCGCTCTCGCCCATGCAGGATGTCCCGAGACTTCTCGTGGGGAAGAGAAAGCCAAATCCCTTCCCCCTATGTCGTCGGGTAGTGCCACGTACTCTGGACCGAGCGGCCAGTGAGCGCCACCAGGTCCCGCAGCGCCGCCTCGCGCCGCTTGAGCCCCACCTCCTCTCCAGCACCGTGAGATACCTGGGTTAAAAAGGCCTTGCGGCTGCTAGGGCGGGTCGAGGAGGGATGATAACCAGGGGATGTGGGCAGGGCCTGTTTGGGGAAACGAAGTTCGAGCCTTCCCTAGATCATGGGGACTATCCAGAAAGAAAGGATAACTGTTTTTCTCCTGAGGTTTAGGAGCAGGAAGAGGTAGCATCCTGGGAGCTTTACTCTGGTTTTTTGGGTTTTGTCTTGTTTTTTTCGGTTTTTTTTTTTTCTTTTTTTGGTGTTGTTGTTTTGTTTTGTTTTGGGGTGGAGGGGAGAATTCAGAAAGAGCACAAAGCTATCACCTGAGAAAGAATCCTACAAATACCACGTAAATGCTTCCGGTTAATAAAGATTTTGGAGATAATAGAAGAGGGGGGGAAATGGGCTTTTTAAGAAAATGCAGTCACCTAAGAGAAGATTTCCATCACCGAATTCTCCTTCAGGCTCAAGTACACTAGTCCTCATTCTGGGCGTGGGGCGAGTAACCAAATGGTTACACAAAAGACTGAACTTTTTTGAGCTAGAGTCCAGAGTGTCAGGTAGTGCTGTTCTCTTCAGAATTAGAGCTGGGAAAGAGGAGGGGAGCTGGAGCTCCTGGGTGGAAGGCAGGTGTCACAGCACCCTCCATGAGGAATCCCATCTCCTTTGGGCCTGTGGGAAAAGGTCTGTGACACCTGCATTCCGCTTAGCCAAAGCTCCAGGTTGCCTTCTCTTTGTGTGCGTTCCTAGTTCTATACTTCAGCCAGAGAGGACTTAAAAACAGTGTTGAAAAAGACGGGGTACTAACCAAAGCGGGTGAATTCCCAGCCCTAATTCTGAAGAGAACAGTACCCCCGGATACTCTGGACTCTTGTTCAAAGAGGTTCAGACTTTTGTATTAGTATTTGGCTACTCTCCCCACACCCAAAATGACTAGTCTAATTTAGCCTGATGCATTTTTCAAGTCGCCTGGGGCAGGACTTGATTTTTTCTGGTCAGCTGTGCGGGATACAACCACCTTAACCACCAGGCCTCAAGCTGGCCCTTACCAAGAATTTATAACAGAATTATTTTCCTAGATTGAGGGTCATGCAGACACCAGACAGGAGGAACAATAATTTTAGCAATCACTTGAAGTCTCCAGAGCAGGATGTTAATGTTTTCCAATAATGATAAATTTTGCTAACTTCACCTTGTAACACTTCCCCAGTACTCTTAGGCCTGGAAACATCCAATGAGAGAGTGCATAATAAACCCCCAAACTTCTGTTGAGGATTAACTGACATGATTTGGGGGAGATGCCTCAGCAGTGTTTAACTCGTTAAATAATAGATAATTTTATTGTTATTTTAATATTTTAATAATTAGAGTACTTTAAAGTAATTTTAAAACATTATAGGGGAGGCTTGCAGGTGGCATGGTGGTTAAAGCACTGAACACTCCCACATTGTTGACGACAGTTCAAGTCCCAGACCTGGTAGCTTGCTTTCTCACTTTTCCTCTCTCTCTGGTCAAAATAAATGAATGAATAGATAAATTAATATTTCCCTAGAAAAAAATTATGGGAATTTGCATACATAACATTGTTTTTTTCACTCATTTAATCACCAAAACAAAAACTTGTAACTCCATTGTGTGAGAGTGGTCCCTTAGAGCTTTGGCGCATAGTAGACTACAATTTTATCTAAATTCTATCTAAGTCTGGATGTTCTGATTCTAAAGACCATAAAATAAAATTCCAACTACAACTGCAGCTGCATTTTGCCTGCCCCTAGGTATGTCAGCTTCAAAGTCAGAAGAAATTAAGCAACCATCATTGAAATTTATAGTGACCTATATAAAGGCAAGGCATTTCTCGAGGACTCCTGACTGATGGGCAGACTGCCAGGACACTACACTGCTGTACTCAGTCTTAGGTATTGTCTTGAGCAGCAAACTTCAAAGTTCCATAAAAGTGTAAATTAAGACATTAATCATAGTCTCATCTTTGAGGAAATGAAAGTCACATTTCCCTACTAGAAAAATGCTAATGAAACAGTGTTCTTCAGGAGTAAACCCTGAGTAATACTTTATATTATTCTCTATTCCTTAATAAGATTTTGCACCTGACCTGTAGTCTCTACACTCTAATGACAATATAACTTAGTGTAGAAGTATAAGTCAATACAAATGGTGAAAAGGTAACTTACCATTGCAGAACATGTTTTCTACAAATAAAGATCCATGATATACTGAAAGAGAACTGTATATATCTAGGTTTCCAGATAGAAATATTAGTATTCCTGCTAACAAAGAAAATTTGAAGCTAGCACTCTATTCACTTCTAGAAAAACATTTAAAAATCTATATCTTGGGACCAGCAGTTGGCGTAATGGCTATGTTGCTGGAGTCCCATGTAGTCGACCGCGGTTCAAGTACCAGACCCAGTGGCTTAAACTCATATTGGGCATGTATGTATGCGTGCCCAAGATCCTGAGAGGAAAATGGAGAAGGGATTGCAGCATGGTCATTCCCCCAGGGGGTAATTTCTCGCTTTCTGTCTCTCTGTCTCTTTCTGTCTTTCTGGCAAGCGCATGCACCCTATAGCAAAAACCTCTCAAAAATAAAAAAAGAAAAAAATCTGTATCTCAAAGAAGATAGTCAGCTATCATGCCAGGACTAGTCTTAACATGATCATTTGGCATTATAAAATCATGTAATAACAACTAGAAGATCTCTGGTGTGTAGATAACAAAACCCAAAAGTAAAATAAAATGTAGAAGAAAATTATGAAAATTAAGAAAAATTATGTGATGATAAATTCAGCACTTCATGGTCCTTCTCAATAGCATGATGGTAAAGATTTTGTATTTAACACTGGCCACCTGTGTGGAGGCAAACCAAATGGGGGTGCTAAACAAGGACATTTACTTTTGTTTGTTTGTTTTTCCATAGGGAATGCATGCTCAAGGGAGAGAGAAAAGGCAAGTGAGAAATCATCCCCCAGGGAAATGGCCATGCCACAATCCCTGCTCCTCCATTCTCCTCCTGGGATTTTGGGCACACATGCACACACACCCTGCATGGTTTTCAAGCTGCCAGGTCTGGGACTTGAACCATAGTCAGCCATGTGATTAAAGTGGGACTCCAACACTTTAACCACTTCATCACCTGTTGGCTCATGACATTTACCTTTTATGCAATATATTATATATTATTTTAATTTCTGACAATGAGTGTGGATTCCAGTATTTTAATTTTTTTCTTTTTTTTCTTCAAGAAAATATTTCATGGCCTGATGATTAAGGCAGTCATATCTCACATGGCTAACCCTATGTTTCAAGTCCCAGACTTAGTGACTGGAAAAACATGCTGGGCACATGCACATGCATGTGCATCCCAAAGAAGAGAGGAATGGAACAGAAGGGATTGCAGGGTGACCATTCCCCAAGAACAAAGTGCTTTTTCCCACTTTTCTTCTCTGCCTCTGTATCTCTTTCTGCTTAGTGAAAAACAAATTTAAAAAGAAAACAATTTAAATTAGATTTAATTTCAATTAAATTTTGTTTCTAGCAAAAACTATTTAAAAAGGAAGAAAAGATAAAAAAAAAAAACTCTATAGTTAAAACTAAGGATTGGAGGGGCCAACAAGTGGCGTGGTGGTTAAGGAACTGGGCTCCCACATAGCCAACAGTAGCACAAGTCCTGGACCTGGCAGTTTGTTTTCTTAATTTCCCTCTCTTTCTGAGTATCTCTCTGGTGAGTACACATGCTCTGGAGCAAATTTTAAAAATGATAATAAATGATAAAAATAAATGAATAATTCTGAAAAAAAAGAAACTAAGAATTGTACCAGTTTAACATACTAGTATCAGAGATAAAGTGGTAAAACTTGAACCTAAAGTGAGAATTTATATAGATAGATATTTTTGTACCTACATATATTTTATATATATTTTTATCTATACATATATATATTTACATTTACATACATATTTACATATATATGTAGAGAGAGACAAATTATATAAGCATTCAAAGGAGATATACAATGTCATTAGTAGAGGATATAACTGGAGAGTGGATTTATGAGTACTTTTTTTCTCATTTGTATTCTCTAATTTTCTACAGTTAGTATGTGCTGCTTTTGTGATAGAAAAAATATTTGTTATTAAGAAAATGGTAGGACCAACATATTTTGGGATAGTCATACAATGGCAATACTAATCAGCAATAAAATGAATGAACTCCAGGCTAGCAGGTGGCATGGCTTAAAACAGCTGAATTCTCATATGGCCAACAATGGTTTGAGTCTCAGACCCAGTGGCTTGAAAATCATGCCAGGCATGTGTATGTGCATGCCCAAAATCTTAGGAGGAGAATGGAGAAGAAGGAATTATGGCGTGGCTATCCCCTTGGGGGGTGATTTCTTATTTTCCCTCTCTGTCTCACTCCTCTTCAGTGAGTACACACACAGCCTATGGCAAAAACCTTAAAAAAAAAAAAAAAAAAGATGAACTCTGATATATGCTATATGAACAAATCTCAAGAACATTTTAAGTGAAAAAAGCCATGTATAAAAATTAGTGCATCCCGTGTGAGTCCATTTATTTAAAGTCTAACAACAGGAAAAACAAATCTAGTGGTAGAAGTTAGGAAGTAGTTGCAGAGTAAGAGGGTTAAAAGTGAATTATGAGGGAACCAGCAGTTAGCGTAATGGCTATGTCGCTGGACTCCCACGTAGTT